CGACCACACACTATATCAGCAGGTATAAAAAAATATTTAGTTCTCGCAAAGTTCATAAACTTAATAACTTAATAAGCTATACCAGGAGCTTCTTAAAAGTGGGGTCCGTAGCTTGTATATCAGAGAGGTCTGGTAGGTGTGATTAACCTTAAAAAATATTTATATAAGTAAATAAATATTATATTACAAATATTAATAATAATATATTATTATAATATATACTATATTTGGTAATAAAACTATCAATAAAAGATTTTTAATATAAAAAAAAAAGTTTTTTTTCTTTTCCTAAATTTTTGGACCTTACTAAAATGTTTTTGATAGTCCGTGGAATTGTTTCAACAAAAAACTAGTTCGTGACTGCAAAAACTTTAAGGAACCCTGAGCTGTACGAACCATGAAGTAAATCAATGACAAATCCAATCAAAACCAATTATATAATTAATAATCATACGTACAATGGAGTACGATGTATCTCATTCGCATCGTTACCTTAGACTCCAAACAGCTAACAGTATTTGTTGGGTCTTAGACCCTAAATAAAACCTTAAGTAGCTAATATTTCAAATGCAATAAGAATATAATAGGAAACAACAAACCATTTAATAGAAATAGTAAGTAATAAAACCCGGAAGCACACACATAGTGTGTTTCCAGCGTAGAATGGATCACCGTTTCCTTTACCGTGCGTGTCGTAAGAAGTGACTAAGGAAATTTAATGGTGCCCATCCGTTTGATGGGCAGAAGCGTCCTTATTAAAACATCACCAAAACCTAACCGCGGTTGCCAATACGCCTGCCAAGCGTGGCAACTACCGCTGAAATCTCCCCTCATAGGGCAGGCTTATGTTCAGCAGTGGACAGTTAACTGGTATGATGAGGGGAAGGGATTGTTAGTGATGGAGACTGAGAATCCATTGCTAGCAATATACCCAACCAGGTCGACCTCCTCGCGGATCCCCCCTGAAACTATCATGGTTAATTCCTGATGAATTCATCATGATGGGCTAACTGGCCCTGTTTTCATTCTCACCTATCACCCTTCACTGGTGCCCCGCCAGCGTATCCCGTTAGCGCAGGCGGGGTTACCATACCATTTTCACCCATCAAAAAAACCGATATGATGATGATGATGTATTAAAGAGAATAAAGAGAATCAGCAAAGAATAATATATTTTATGTAACAATCAACAACATCTAGTTACCATAGCGACCTAAACACAGATATATAACTACAATGATTTAAGATCACTAGACGGGCCACATACTGGAAGTGCTTCCATAACATGATGATGGTGATGAATTGTATTACTCAATGTGTTTACTGCATTGACAGCGTGCGAGCGCGGCCACCCGCGAGCCGCCCTCAGCGTGCTGTCGTTCCGCGGCGACAAGCCTGACGATGAACATTCCATCTACGCACGCCCGCCGCTGCCACAGTATGTACACACATGTTTATCCTTTCAACTATTTCCAAATCTATGAAATTAGTAGTTTTTACAGGCTTTTTACTTTTTTTATACAACTTAGAATGGCAAACAAGCTGACGGCCCACCTGATGGAAAGTGGTAACCGTCGCCTATAGACATGAGCAGTACCATGGACGTAACAGAGTATACTGTTTCGCCCATGATACCCCCATGAGTTGACTCGGATGTTATTCCTCTGTACCCTGTAAATTCACGCCATATCCGACGGAGCCCCTAAAGTCGAATTTTGTAGTTGTCAGGGTTATTAACGCGTATGCGGCACTCCTGGTGTAGCAGGCGTCCATAGACTACTGTAACCGTTTACCATCAGTCGGGCCGTATGCTTCTTTGCTACCATAGTAGTGTAAAAAAAACATGAAATATCGACTATTCGTTTACAGCGGTGTTCATCGTTGGAGCGGCCATCCGTGCCCGCTAAGTCGACCAACGCCAACACTGGGCAGTCGGAGTTTAAACCCACCAAGCCTTCGTCGCTGCCGCCGCATCTCACTAAAGGTTTGCTTTACGTTATACACAGTTTTACTACCTGTAAGCCGCGGCCGTATGGTCCCGGCATAGAATGGGCCACCCCTTCCTCTCCCGTGGGTGGCGTAAGAGGCGACTAACGTAGGGCGAGGGATGGGCAGCAGTCCACTGAAAACATCTTTAAAGCCAAACTATGGTTGCCAATTATACTACGAGACTACGTGGAGGTCGACCTGACGGAATATATTGCTAGCAATGGGATTGGTAGTCCGCATTGCTATCAATCCCTCCCCCCCGCTTTGGATATGTTTTAAGCGGCATACTCCCACCCATATCCACGACGCTGCTTATGACACCCAGGACTACTCAGCTAATGGACTACATTGGGGGGGGGGGCTTGGTAGTAGTTGCCATCTTTGGCAGACGGGTCGGCAATCGCAATTATGCTTTTGGTGGTAACGAAATGGCCATGGTATTCTTTATTCTTGAGGATTAAGATGTTTATCTCCGTACCCTCTAATTTCATTGCCATACATTCACCTTCACAGTCGCTTCACGTAAGAAACATGGATGGGACAGAGGCACCCATGCAAATGACTTTTGTAAATTTTTCTTTTGCGAAGGTTCGTCTTTATTTTCAAAAGATTTTTCTCAACTGATAAACTGATATCGAAAATTCTTAATTTATCTGAAAGTATATTAACTAGTAACAGATTGATCCCATAGAAACTTTATCAAAATCGGTCCAGTAATTTACTTTTTCATAATTGAAGTAGTTTGTTTTATGAAACAATATCGGATATCGGATGACGATCATTTGAATTGAATTTATAATCGTATTCGCAGACATGCCAGCGCTGTACGTGAACCTGTCCGAGCTGGCGACTTTAGCAGCGGCGCGGGCGCACCACCACGCCACCACGGCCACCACTGCTGCGGCTGCCGTTGCCGGCGACCACCCGCACCAGGAGAAGGTAACCTTACAATTTATATTTCTTTTATACTACTTAGAATGGCAAACAATCTGACAGCCCACCTGATGGAAAGTGGTAACCGTCGCCTATAGACATGAGCAGTACCATGGACATAACAGAGTATACTGTTTCGCCCATGATACTGTGACAGTTCGCCTATAGTACAATAGGTTTAATACCATAAGTACATAGAAAAGAAACAGGGGTTCCTATGGGTGACAGCTGCGAAAGCTGAGCTATTTAATATAAACAAACTTTAAAGTCAAGGTTCACAATAGTATACAGAAGACGTTACCATATATGAAATATTGACACAGAAGGGAAACTCCTTTGATGTGTTTCCAAAGTGTAGTGGATGTCACAAGAAAATTAAATAAATTAAACAAAAATATATTATATTTTATATATAACCAAATTATAGTTTACCTTTTTATCATCAGGTGTAAAAAAGATACATACAACATAGTTTAATAAGGTTTATGAGAGTCTTTAAAGTTTTATAAATTCTATAATCAATTTAATAGAAAATACCAAAATACGTTAACATATAATTAAATTGAATTTAAAGAAAAGTTCAGTTCGAATAATAGGCTAAATCCGATTATTGAAATATCTACCCTTCGGTGACATAATCTATGACGTTACTAGGTGAGAAAAAAAAAAAAGAGAAAAAAAAAAAGGGCGGCAAATGGCGCGGGAGTGGTGTTTTAAGGAACTGCGCAATAAAATAAAAAAATAACTAGGATATAGATCTAGGAGGGACTGGATCGATGAAGGGGTTTGAAATCTTAGTGTATCACTATCGATTAAGTGTGTGAAATTAATGAATAGAAGACTGGAGAATCCGGTGAGCTTGTTCCATTTATTACTACGTAGTTAGATTTTTGACTGTGATCGCAGGCAAAGTCTATACTTAATATTTTTCTCAACAACTATTGAAATACGTATTTGGTCGAGTCCGTATACCTTTAGGTAATGCGTATATCGTTAAATGCAATCACATTTGAACAAATTTTACATCATTATAATTTACGTACTTACGTTATTCTACTCATATACAAAATCCAATTATATGGTCGTTTGATAGAACTTCATCAATTTGATTCAATGTTCTAATTGTCCAGTTTTGAAAAATACTTATTAAATCAGCTATTAAACTATTATAATACTAACTAGTTTCATATCTAGTTATTATAAAGTATTTATTTATTGAGGATAATAGACTAAAGTGACTATGGTCTGGTCTCATTGCTAGGGAAACAACCATTGATGAGAGAGAGGGGTTGTTGAGTGACGACTCTGTAAATGCAAATGCGGTGTGGGCTACCTCCATTGTTTGGAGTGACTGTTTTATGTGTATTGTGGGGCCGTTCCTTGTGTCAGTCTGTGGGAAATTGCCTGTGTTCAGTCGTGGGTTGGTGATGGTTGAGACGATGATGATGATGAAATATTTGTATTTATTACACTATTACAGTGTTGGTTTGGAATATCTGTTCATACTTAACGCTTCATGGTGAAGTGTTTTTATACCATTACTCGGTCGACCAGATTAATGATTCTTAGTCTATATTTGATTATCCATGACTACATGTGGGGATTTGTTTTACACCAGATGTACAAAGAGACAGCTTAACTGTTGCAAGTGATATTATGTGAATGTAATACTTTTAATACATTATTAATTGTGTTACTAGATAAATTCATGTGACTGTGGGGTGTTTATGGTAAACAAGCCTGTATTGTTTAAATAGATATTTTGTCTTGATTTATTATAAACTTTAATATTGATTTTGTTGTAGTAAGCAAGCTGATAATAACAATTCTGTGTGTAATACTGATTATTAATAATATTTAATTATGCTGATATTATAGGTGTGGATGTATTTCCTAATGGTAATAAATGTACTAAAGGATTCTCTGACTATAGTTACTCTTAACTAGGTATGAGGTACAGTATAAAATTAGTATTAAATGACAAGTGTGAGTTATTAGTTATTATTTATTATATTATTTTACTCATATTTAGGAAGAAAGTTGTCATGGCGATAAGGTTTGTATGTGTGTTGTTTGTTCATGCTATATTGATTAGACAAGTTCAGACAGGGTTAATATTAGTGAAACTTTATTGGATTTATATTTAATATACATATTTTGAATATTTATGGGAATAGAATGGAGATATACAAGTAGTAAAATATAATATTAGTATTTTATAAATTTCATTATCGAGTTAGTTGTATATGTTGGCTGTATCAAAGAGATATGAACCTATTAATATCAAGTTAGGACAATTACTTTAAATATTAATAAAGCAAACACTAACACTGATTATTCACTTCTTTAATAAATTTACATTAGAGGTTAGAAATCAAATAGATAGCATATTAGGAAAATCTTCACCACACATGTATTTGAGGAATGTTCTTGATAATTAGTACTGTATGTATATATTATTGCAAGTACAATTGCAATAAGAATGTTAAACTTCTAATCTTCTGTTCATTCTTGAATTTGAAAGTAAGCTTGGCTTACTGATATGAATATAAATTGCAGCATTACTGGATACTATTAATTATTTCTGGTGTAAACCATGATTATTTATGTCACTGATAATTTAGTTGTATATTACGGTTGATATATGATGATTTTATATTAATTATATTAAACAAATACAAATAAACAAACTTGCTAGTATTTGTTACGTTGACAGTTGTGATAGATAATCAAAATTCAATTCAATACATCAATACGTCATTCAATACGTCATTAATGTGACAGATGTCAAACAAAAGGAGATTATACACGTTATGATTCTATAGCTAAGTCTATAGAAAATTTATATAATTTTCAGTTATTTTATAATAACTGTAGGGGAAATATTGGAATATTTATATGAGAAATTTCACTTAAATGATATGATAATTATTTAAAGACCTAATTTCTTAGGGATTTAATCATGATGATTTAAACACTACTAAAACACTTGTTTATCTGAGAAATCCTCTTAGTAAATAGGTTTACTAAGACACTAAAAGGAAGTAGATATAGTATAACTATAGTACAGCTACAATAATTGTATGGGACTTACTGTCCTTTCTATACAAATATATATTTAATCTATATTTTTCACATTATAATTATGCAATATATTGCCTCTACTACTACAACATACACAAATAGGACTTATTGTCCTTCTATATATACCTATATATATAATAATTGACCTGGCACTTTAATGTGTAATTTATCAGTACTTATGACAACAACCAATTAGGACTTATAGTCCTCTCTATAAAGCTACATAATTATTTAATCTGATTATTTCACAATGTGATTAATCAAACCTCTACAAATATTACAAAAGATCTCTATTACTCTCAACACAATAATAGCTTGTTGGACTTAGTGTCCTCAAACTTATAGAAAACCCAACTGGTTATTTCACGAGACGTTGTTAACTTGTGATTAATCAGTGTCTTTTAAAGGACTTATAGTTCCTTTAGATATATCTCTCTGAATAAATAATTGGTTAATTCACAATGTGGTTAATGAACAATAATATTATATATAATTGACTGGACTTATAGTTCATTCAATAGCACTCATTACTTTTAGTAGCTCTCGACCTATGGGTTGGACTACTCGTTCTTAGGCTCCGGCCTAATCAACAGATTTAACTTGAACCTTGAGTATTCTTGGTATTAAGTAAATAATATTAAATTGACAATGCTATGTTATGATATAGCAATTATCAACATTATATGGCTTGGCCAATTCCAGGGTGTGGAAGGTATCCCCTATCACACAAATCTTCATCTCTATCGGACTGTCTTCACAGGTGATCTCTAATGTCACATTATAGGGCCGAAGGGTTATGTCCCAACAAAGTAGGTTCTGGTGTCTGGGTGATCTCGCTTCTTGGTCTGATCTCTTGTGGAGCCGAAGGGAACCCCCCATTGAGTAAGCTCGTAACAGGGTGACGCTGGGAAACAGTTTCGTACTGTTAGTGGGTGATCTCTATGTCGCCATATAGGACTGAAAGGGTCATCGCCCATGAGTAAGCTCTCGTGTCGGAGTGATCCTGGGATTTCAGTTCCGATCCTTTTGCCTCTGGCAAACTCCAATTTATACTGGAAGCATCGTGGGGCTGGTGGAGCCACTGTAATGTTGAAGTAAATGTACTTATGTTTGGTTTGGAACTGAGAATACTCATGCCCTTATTACCATCAGAGTGCATTAATAAATAGTAATACCCTTCCTACCTTTTAGGAGGAAGAGTTATAGATAGTTGGAAAGTCTTCCACTGGTCCGGGCGTGTGAGGGGCCCGACCGCTCCCCATTTTTTTTATTATTACAGTTGTTCTGTAATTTACTATTAAATTAACATAACTTCCTAGTTACATGAATTATGAGTATAATTCATTAATTATTCTTAATCCTTAAAAATTTATCAATCATCTTCATAATTTAACTCCTGTCATATACCAATTAAAGAACCTTTTGGTTATTACACACACAACGGGTCCTACATTACTAGACGATCACACATTTATTTATCTGGCCAAATGATCAAGTGTTCTACTATAAGATCTGTTTAATATTAAGTGTTTATTGTAAGGGTTTATATGATTCATAGGTTGTTTGGGGTGTATAAGATAATATAGGTATGGGGTTATATTGAGGGTGTTAGGCCATTCTTTAGGGTAGGTTTTCATTAGATTTTCATAGATTTCATTAGGAAAAGCCTTCGTAGGCTTTTCTTAGGCTTTGTAGGTTTTCCATGTGTAGGTTAGTTTAGAGGGTAGTTATTATATGAAGGGGTACAAAGGGCAGATAGGGGGGGGACCATCACAATTGGTGCCGTGACCAGGATATAATTGGTTCATGGCTATTTACATATCAGATCAATAAGAACACTTGGTCACAATTGGAGCTTGTGACTTCAGGGATTGGTTATTAAAATATGAAGGAGTATAAAGTTAAACAGTAATATCTGCTAA